TCCGTTGCTCCTTGTCCGGCCTTCAGCGGCTTTGGAGAAGAGCTTGACTCCCTCTTCTTTGGGGCAGCCCCTGAGATATTGGAAGACTGTTATCATGTCCCCCCTTGTCCTTCTCTTCATTAAACCAGACATGTCCAATTCCAGCAATCGTTCCTTATATGTTTTAGCCTCCAGTCCCCTGATCCTCTTTGTTGCTCTTCTCTGCACTCTTTCCAGAGTCTCAACTTATCCTCCTGTGCAGAATAAAGTTGTGTTACTTCAATCACACCCGGGCGTGTGCAGTTGGGCTTCAATGCCCCGGACAAGGACTCAGTGTTGAGCTGAACCAGGGGTCTTCAAACTTGGCCCTTTGATGACTTGTGGACTTCAACTCCCAGAATTCCTCAGCCAGCATGCCTGGCTGAGGAATTCTGGGAGTTGAATTCCACAAGTCATCAAAGGGCCAAGTTTGAAGACCCCTGAACTAGACCATCAAGATGACCCACATCCACAAGATAACGCGTGAACGAAGCAGATAAAATCTGGCCAAGACTTTATGGGGGATTGTGCAAGATTTCACCAATCTCTCACGAGACGCCCCAGTTTGCAATAATTCACTCATTGTAATTATTTTATCCGAACGACATCCACGCTCAATTGTGTGTGGCAGAAGCCGACACACGAACAGGTTGCTGATTTTCATCTTAATCAGCTTTATGGAAAATAATCGCCCTGCTACAATTGAATCAGCCTGTTTTTTGTTTTTGTTTTTTTAAGTTGATTACGCTGCCAGTTTGAGCTCTGAGCCTGACGATACGAGCTGCGGGGAGAGATCAGTAAATTTGTCGCAGAAATTATGTGTGGTTCTAGACATCACGAACCCAAAAAGTTTCTTAGAGGTTTTAAGCTGAGATGGGTGAAAATTGTTCCGATGCTTTGTTCCCGCCACAAGAATTTGTGAATTGACAGTTTTCTTAGTAAACTGAATTATATATATTTCAACATTAAGAAAACCAAAATCATGGCATCCGGCCCTCTCAATTCCTGGCAAATAGATGGGGAAGAAATGGAGGTGGTGACAGATTTTATTTTTCTGGGCTCAAAGATCACCTCAGATGGGGACTGCAGCCAAGAAATTAAAAGACGCTTGCTCCTGGGGAGAAAGCTATGGCAAATCTAAACAGCATTCTAAAAAGCAGAGACATCACCCTGCCAACAAAAGTGCGTATAGTCCAGGCCATGGTTTTCCCAGTTGCAATGTATGGCTGTGAAAGTTGGACCATAAGAAAGGCCGAGCGCCAAAGCATGGAGGCCTTTGAACTATGGTGCTGGAGAAGACTCCTGCGAGTCCCTTGGACGGCAAGGCGTTCAAACCGGTCAGTCCTAGAAGAGATCAACCCCGACTGCTCTTTAGAAGGCCAGATCCTGAAGTTGAAACTCAAATACTCTGGCCACCTAATGAGAAGGAAGGATTGCTGGGAAAGATGGAGGCCAAGAGAAGAAGGGGACGACAGAGAATGAGATGGCTGGATGGAGTCACTGAAGCAGGAGGCGTGAGCTTAAATGGACTCCAGAAGATGGTAGAGGACAGGAAGACCTGGAGGAACATTGTCCATGGGGTCGCGAGGGGTCGGACATGACTTCGCAATTAACAACAACAACAACTATATATATATATATATATGTATACATGTATGTATGTATGTATGTATGTATGTATGTATGTATGCATGTATGTATGTATACATATATGTAGGTCTTTGGTTGTTCGGGTTTTCTCCCGCGTAAAATTGGAAGTGTCTTGGCGACGTTTCGACGAAGTCCCAGTGTGTCTTGGCGACGTTTCGACGAAGTCCCATTCGTCATCTTCAGGTGTTTTCAGCTTCGTGCTTTGAGCAGCTGCTCGAAGCACGAAGCTGAAAACACCAGCCTGAAGGTGACGAATGGGACTTCGTCGAAACGTCGCCAAGACACTTCCAATTTTACGCGGGAGAAAACCCGAACAACCAAAGACCTACATACAAATACCCGCGAAAACCTCAGAAAACACTATATATTATATATATATATATATATATATATATATATATATATATATACACACACACACACACACACACACACACACACACACACATACATACATATACATATATACATATATATATATATATATGTATATATAAATCTCTCTAAGGTCCTTCCTATAAAGGGACTGGACCTTGGGTGATGTCACCAATCATTCCTTAGATGTTCCTCACCTCTAAAACCTTTCCAGTCAGGACCCCAAAAACCAAGAAAGACATGCAGCATTATTTCTTGCTTGTTTCTCACCTACAGAGTGAAAGCTGTCCAAATTAAAGCAACTATAGTGGTGGCCAAAATTGTGGAAACTTTTGGGGGAAAAGTGTATTTTTGAGGTTTGATGGCTAATACCAGCCCTTTTGTTTTGGAGCAGTACCATAAAGTTATATATCAATGGAAAGATCATTTAATCAAGAATGTAATGCAACATAGTTTGTTCAATTATCTGTACTGTATTCTATGAAAAGTTATAGCTAAAGAATCAGAAAAAGGAAGCACAACTTGCTTAGGTTGATCTCAGGTAGCTTTGCTTCCTCTGATTGTAGCCAATGAGCATGAGTGTTTAGACCAGCGGTTCTCAACCTGTGGGTCGGGACCCCATTTGGGGTCGAACGACCATTTCACGGGGGTCGCCAAACAACGCAGTCCGCCATTTTTTCCCCCCTTTTCCTTAGCTGTGCTACTCCCTTTTATTCTATTGGCTTTTGAAAGCCAATAGAACAGTCTCTCTTGAATAGAGTCTCATTCTATTGGCTTTCCAAAGCCAATAGGAATTGTCCAGGCTGTCTCTGCCCTGCTGAGCCCGCCAAAAGTCCCAGTCTGCAAACGGTGCTGCACCAGTTGAGTAGTCCTTGACTTACGACCCGTTGAGTAGTCCTCGACTTACGACCGGTTGGGGGTCGCAGCATTAAAAAGGTTGAGAACCACTGGTTTAGAGAGCCAATCAGGTGTCCTCTTGTTTTGGCCATGAGCCAATCAGATCACGGTAGGATCCAGTGATTGATGTCCTGTATTGAAGCCGAGAGGAGGACATTTGTCAGGGTGTTCTGTGATGGCTATCAAGTCGGTTGGGGTTTTTTTGTGTTCTTTCATTGAGTGAGCTTGTAAAACGTTAATAAAATTAAGGTCGTGGTGCAAAGAGTTGACTGGTTGCCCAGAAAGCGATGTAAAATAGTATTGTTAAGTGAACGAGGCTACAGTTACAAAGAAATGAGAAGAAAAATAGGTGGAAACTTAACCAACGGTGGCATTTCTACTGTACGCTTTCCCCAAAAGGTTTCCACCATTTTGGCCAGTTCTGTACTTGCATTGTGAAAGATACACTCTGGGAACCGTTAAGGAGGAGCTGTCTTCGCCCGCTTTCTCTCACACAAACTGTCTGAGCTTTGCTGTCTCTCGGTCCTCTGGAATGCAGCCCCTCCCTCCTGAGGAATCCAGACCACATTCCACCACAGCCCATCAAACAGGTTCCACATAGATTTCTGCATCTCAGAAACCTACTGATTGGATCAAAGCAGTGGGTTGCATTTTTAAACCCAGTCCATTATTTTCTCTCTTTCCCAACTGACAAAAGCCATAATACACGCGGTCCTCGATTTACAACCGTTCATTTAGTGACCGTTCGAAGTTACGACGGCACTGAGAAAAGTAAGTTTTTCGCACTTACGACCGTTGCAGCTATCCCCATGGTCACGCGATCGAAATTCGGACACCGGGCAACTGGCATCTATTTATGCCTGGGGTCACGTGATCACCTTCTGGGACCTTTTGACAAGCATGGACAATGGGGGAGAAGGCAGACTTGTTTAACGACCACACGAATCACTTAACTAGTTTGTAAAATGGGGCAAAATTCACTTAACAACGGTCTTGCTTAGCCATTGAAATTTTTGGCTCCATTGCCGTCGTAAGTTGAGGACTTCCTGTACCTTCTTAAGCAGGAGGCAGAGATCAAACTCTGCTTGTCCATTCTGTTCTATTCTATTCTATTCTATTCTATTCTATTTTCTATTCTCTATTTTCTATTCTATCTTCTCTTCTAGTCTATATTCTGTTCTATTCTATATTCTATCCTATTCTATTTTCTATTCTATTTTCTGTTTTCCCTCTTCTCTTCTCTTCTCTTCTCTTCTCTTCTCTTCTCTTCTCTTCTCCTCTCCTCTCCTCTTCTCTTCTCTTCTATCCCTGTGGAAGAGGCTAAAAGATCCAGGGTAGATCTCAAGGCATAGTCCTGCCTGAGCAGGGGGCTGGACTAGAAGACCTCCAAGGTCCCTTCCAGCTCTATTCTATTCTATTCTATTCTATTCTATTCTATATTATTCCTTATTTCCATTCTCTTCTCTTCCCTTCCCTTCCATTCCATTCTATTCCATTCCATATTTTCTATTCTATTCTATTCTGTTCTGTTCTGTTCTGTTCTGTTCTGTTCTGTTCTACTCTACTCTACTCTACTCTACTCCATTCCATTCCATTCCATTCTATTCTATCCCTCTGGATGAGCTGTTTTCCTCCCACAGAATCTTCATAGAAACCATGAATGATCATATGACAAGAGATGCTGTAATGGACCCAGCCCTGAGCAAAGGGGCTGGATGACATGACCTCAAGGGTCCCTTTCAACCTTGTGATTCTCCGATCCCTGACTGGAGATCCGAGCAGAACCTCATGAGATGCAAATTGCTCATTTTTCCCCTCCCAGGAGTCAATTGTCCCTTATTCTATAAAGCTTCTCTGTACTTCTTACCGATTTTGTGTGTCTGTCTTGCTTTTTCAACATCAGCCAAGGAGGTCAAGGCAAGGGACCTGACCCCTGTGCTCTCCGGTGAGTCCATGCCAGGTTGGGGTTGACTCACCTGTACAGGTGTAGCTGGAGCAAACAAAGTCCCGCCTGCCCCTTTGGTCCCACCCTCTCCCTGAAGACCCCATCGGGCACTTACCACTTTGGGCAGCACGGAAGCGATGGCGTCCTTGATGACTTCCCGGAGGCTGGAGGTCTCAATCACCGAACCCAAGCTCAACAGGACTTCCTGGAGGAAGAAAAATTCTCCGTCAGCAAAGACGTTCCCTCAAGAAGGACTAGCACCGCTTTATAAAACCCTAGTGGGACCACACCTAGAGTACCGCAGCCAGTTTTGGTCACCATATCACAAAAAAGAGGTTCAGAGTCTGGAGAAAATTCAGAGAAGAGCAACTAAGATGATCCAAGGCCTGGAGACCAAAACATACGAAGAACAGCTGCAGGACTTGGGTTTGGCTAGTTTAAAGAAAAGAAGAAATAGGGGAGACATGATAGCAGCGTTCCAGTATTTGAGGGGCTGCCACAAAGAAGAGGAGGGGGTCAAATTATTCTCCAAAGCACCAGAGGGAAGGACGAGAAACAATGGTTGGAAACGAACAGAGAGAGAAGCAACCTGGAATTAAGGAGAAACTTCCTAACAGTGAGGACAATCAACCAGTGGAACGACTTGCCACCAGAAATCATGGGTGCTCCATTGCTGGAAGTTTTTAAGAAGAGACTGGACATTCACTTATCTGAAATGGTAAAGGATAGTCCTCCTGCTTGAACAGGGGGCTGGACTAGAAGACCTCCAAGGTCCCTTCCAGCTTCTATTCTATTCTATTCTATTCTATTCTATTCTATTCTATTCTATTCTATTCTATTCTATTCTTTAATTCTATTCTATCCCATAATTCTATTCTATTCTATTCTATTTCTATTCTATTCCATCCCATAATTCTATTTCTATTCTATTCTATCCCATAATTCTATTCTATTCTATTCTATTCTATTCCATCCCATAATTCTATTCTATTCTATTCTATTCTATTCTATTCTACTCTATTCTGTAATTCTATTCTATTCATTTTCTATATTCTGTTCTGTATTTCTATTCTATTCTATTATCAGAATAGAACTGGAAGGGACCTTGGAGGTCATCTAGTCCAACCCCATGCTCAGAGCAGGGAACCCTATACCATTTCAGACAAGTGGCTGTCCAGTCTCTTCTTGAAAACCTCCAGTGATGGAACACCCACAACTTCTGGTGGCAAGCTGTTCCACTGGACCACTGTCCTCACTGTCAGGAAGTTTCTCCTTAATTCCAGGTGGCTTCTCTCCTTGATTAATTTCAAGGAGATAGGGGATAGGGAAAAAAAAAACCTTTACTAGTCTAATAAAAAGGATTAAGGGAGTGACCAGGATAGCAGTTTTCCAATTTGAGGGCTTGCCATAGAGAAAGGCGGGGTCAACCTCTTCTCCAAAGCACCTGAAGGCAGGACAAGAAGCGATAAAGGATAAAATATATTAATAACAGTTGCAGGTATGTCCAGTTTGATGAAAAGAAGAACTAGGGGTGACAGGAGAGCAGTGTTCCAATATCTGAGGAGCTGCCCCAAATAAGAGGGGGTCAATTTGTTTTCCAAAGCGCCTGAAGGCGGGACAAGAAGCAACGGATGGAAACTAACCAAGGAGAGAAGCAACCTGGAACTAAGGAGAAACTTCCTGACAGTGAGAACAAATTAACCAGTTGAATGGAAGTTGCCTCCAGAAGTTGTGGGTGCTCCATCACCGGAGGTTTTTTTTACAAAAGAGACGGGATAGCCACTTTCCAGGGACGGCATAATGTCTCCTGTCCTGTGCAGAAGCTTGGACCACTAGATGATCTCTGAGGTCCTTCAAGCCTTAGGATCCTTTGATTCCTCACCTGTCACGTTGAGAGCAAAGCCATGGATGACAAATGCAGATAGGTTAAAAACAAAAAAAAATGAAATGGTTCTGAGTGAACGGTTGGCGAGCAACAAACGGAGAATTCTCTCTCAATATCCAAGAGCACCATCAGCTTAAGCCTGCATTTTAAGACAATCCTTGACGTTCTCATTTAACAACGAGATCCTTGCTAAAGTAGCCAAGTGTTTGCAATCTCCGATACTCGTTTAGGTTTTCTTGTAAATGGAGCACAGCTCGTCTGATTCTCCGTGCATTTTTTTTTTTTTTTTGCAGAAAAAGGAGATGCAACAGGTGTGAATTGATGTTTTTTTTCTGGGAAATCAAATCTTTAAGAACGATTTTTTTTTTCAAATGCTCAGGGGAACGGAGGAGGATGTCTCTCTCTCTCTCTTTTTCTCTCTCTCTCTCATCTCAATTTCTCTCTCTCTCCCTCCCTGCCTCTTTCTCTTCTTCTTCCTCTCTCTTTCTCTCTCCTCTCAATTTCTCTCCCCCTCTTTCTCTCTCTCTTTTTCTCCCTCTTTCTCTCTCCTCTCAATTTCTCTCTCCCTCTCTCTCTCTCTTCTCAATTTCTCTCTCCTCTCTCTTTCTCTTCTTTTCCCTCTTTCTCTCTCCTCCCTCTCTTTTCTCCTTCTCTCTATTTCTCTCTCCTCTTTCTTTCTCTCTCTCAATTTCTTCCTCTCTGTGTCTCTTTCTCTTCTCCCTTTATCTCTCCTCTCAATTTCTCTCTCTCCTTCTCTATTTCTCTCTCTCTCTCTCTCATCTCAATTTCTCCCTCTCTCTGTCTCTTTCTCTTCTTCTCACTCTTTCTCCTCTCAATTTCTCTCTCCTTCTCTCTTTCTCTCTCTCCTCTCTTTCTCTCTCTCTTTCTCTCTTTCTCTCTCATCTCAATTTCTCCCTCTCTGTCTCTTTCTCTTCTTCTTCCTCTTTCTCTCTCCTCTCAATTTCTCTCTCTCTCTGTCTTTCTCCTCAATTTCTCTCTCCTCTCTATTTCTCTCTCTATCCTTCTCTTTCTCTCTCTCTCTCCCTCATCTCAATTTCTCCCCCTCTCTCCCTTTCTCTCCTCTCAATTTCTCTCCCTCTCCCTCTCTCCCTCTCCTCTCAATTTCTCTCTCTCCCCTTCTATTTCTCTCTCCTTCTCTCTCTCTTTCTCTCTCTCTCCTCTCAATTTCTCCCTCTCTCTCTTCTTCTCCCTTTCTCTCTCTCAATTTCTCTCTCTCCCTCTCTGTCTCTCTCCTCTCAATTTCTCTCTCTCCTTCTCTCTCTCTCTCTCTCTGTGTGTGTGTGTTTGTGTGTGTGTGTCTGGAATCCAAGCCTAATCCATATCCAAAAAACCTGGGGGCATGGGGGGGGGGAGCAGAGACAACCCCCCCCAAAACACCCACAAAGAGCAAACTGTTACATCTCTGCTTTCACCCCAACCTTTCCTTCTCGCCTTTCTTCGCTCCCCAGCTGTGATGGATGTGGTGCCATTGTGCCCTCCCCAAATGTCAGCCCAGAAACACGGCGGGACCCGGAGATTAAAGTCAGAGCTGGGAGCCTGGCAGAGAAACAGCCCTGGGAGATGCCAACCCAGCTCCCCACAGGACCCATCGGAGTCTGAGTAAGGCCTGTCTGCCTGGGACCGAACGGCATCGCGGTCATCTGGAGATCACCATCCTTGGAGGAGGAAAAGGGGGCTCCTAAGCTGGACTCGTGGGTGCTCCATCATTTTGCAATCTTTCTTGACCCAATTGCTCCGTGAATTACTGCCGCCGCTCGTCAGTAGCACGCTGCTCAAGTGAATCTGGCTTCCCCCAGGACTTTCCTGGTGAGAAGGTCGTAAAAGGGGATTTGCTTGATCCCCAAGGTTATAAACGCGAGCCCGTTGCCAAGCATTTGAGTTTTATTCCCATGGTCGCGGAGATGCGGCAATGGTCGTAAGTGTGAAAAATGGTCACAGGTAACTTTTTTTCAGTTGTAACTTTGAACGGTCACTAAATGGACATTGTAAGTTGAGACTGCCTATGTAAGCATAAGAGCAAATTCCTCTCCCTTCTGGCATTGATGACGTCACTTACTTGGGTCATGAGATGTCTGCAAGAAAACCACCCAGCTCAGAGAGCACCAAGGACCCCACAGTCCTTCCTTCCTTCCTTCCTTCCTTCCTTCCTTCCTTCCTTCCTTCCTTCCTTCCTTCCTTCCTTCCAGCACTGATGATGTTCCCTAGTTGGGTCATGAAACGTCTGTGAGAAAACCACCCAGCTCAGAGAGCATCAAGGACCCCATAGAATAGATCTCCTCCTCCTCCTCCCTCCTAGCACTGATGATGTTACCTAGTTGGGTCATGAAACGTCTGCAAGAAGACAGCCAAGATGAGAGAGCACCAAGGACCCCACAGTCCTTCCTTCCTTCCTTCCTTCCTTCCTTCCTTCCTTCCTTCCTTCCTTCCTTCCTTCCTTCCTTCCTTCCTTCCTTCCTTCCTCCTCCTCCCTTCTAGCACTAATGATGTTCCCTAGTTGGGTCATGAAACGTCTGTGAGAAAACCACCCAGCTCAGAGAGCATCAAGGACCCCATAGAATAGATCTCCTCCTCCTCCTCCCTCCTAGCACTGATGATGTTACCTAGTTGGGTCATGAAACGTCTGCAAGAAGACAGCCAAGATGAGAGAGCACCAAGGACCCCACAGTCCTTCCTTCCTTCCTTCCTTCCTTCCTTCCTTCCTTCCTTCCTTCCTTCCTTCCTTCCTTCCTTCCTTCCTTCCTTCCTTCCTCCTCCTCCTCCTCCTCCCTTCTAGCACTGATGATGTTCCCTAGTTGGGTCACAAAATGTCTGCAAGAAAACCACCCAGCTCAGAGAGCACCAAGGATCCCATAGAATAGATCTCCTCCTCCTCCTCCCTTCTAGCACTGATGATGTTACCTAGTTGGGTCATGAAATGTCTACTCTACAACAACTAGCTCAGAGAGCACCAAGGTTCCCATAGTTGTCCTCCTCCTCCTCCTCCTCCTCCTCCTCCTCCTCCTCCTCCTCCTCCCTTCTGGCACTGATGATGTTCCCTAGTTGGGTAATAAAATGTCTGTGAGAGAAAAAAAAACCTCTGAAAGCGCCAAGGACCCCTAAGATGGCTACACTGCAACTAAAGCTGCCTTTTGCGATAGATGGATGGGGATGTTGCCAGTACTGCTGGTCCTCAAGGGGTGCCCCAGATGTTTCGGGATTGCCCCCCCCCCCCGGCGCCTATTGGAAGCATCTTTTATGAGGATGCTGATTTACAGCAAGCCAGATGTTTTGGCCGGATTTGGCATTTTTATCTAGCAAGC